CGGCTCTCGCGCTCCGGCCAGACCTCCCCGCGCGGGCTCCCGCGCTCCGGCCAGACCTCGCGCGCGCTCCCGCGCGTGCAGTGGGATTCGAACGCTGGCCAGACCTCCCGCGCGATGTAGAGCTTAGATACAAGCAAACCAACTTGAGAGTTTTTATTGAAAATAGTAATAAGAATTTTCTCTATTCATTAAACTGGATACAAGGGTCCTATATATAGAGCTTAGATACAAGCAAACAATAATAAAGAGGTACACGTGTACATAAATAATAGGTAGCAGAATTATAGCTGTACATTCTTGCTTTAGAATGTTTCCATACTTTTGTTTGCTAATACCCCATAGCAAGTTCATCTTTGGATGAAATGTCGTGAACTTGAATGCTTTGATTTTTTATACACTCCCTAATAAAATGACAGTCAATTTTCTATATGCTTAGTGCTAGCATGATAGATTGGATTGTTTGCCAAAGCTATTGTCGATGTGTTATCACAGTATAAAGTTATTGGTTATATTTGAAGACAATCTAGTTCTTGAAGTAGACATCCAAGCCATTTGATTTTGGTTGTTGCTGAAGAAATAGCTCGATATTCGACTTATGTAGATAAGCGTGCTATGGTGGACTATTTCTTGACACTCCATGATATGAGGGTTGTACCTAAAAAGTTGCAGTACCCCCTTGTGGATTTACGATCTTGTTGGTCACCTGCCCAATTCGAGTATGTATAGGATTGAAGAGTTAAGGAATTGCGGCTGATAGGTAATCCATAATGTATGGTGCCTTGAATATATCTTAAGATATATTTGAGAGCTTTAAAGTTGCACACAGTTGGTTGATGCATGTGTTGACAAGCTTTGTTACCAACATAGGTAATGGATGGTCGTGTACGTGTTAGGTATTGCAGGGCTCCTACAAGCTGTCGGTACAACTTAGGATTGTTGAACAGAGGTGATTGAGTCAATGGAATGGCCTTGATATTACTTGGTGTAGCGACAACATTGTTGTTTGTCTTTCGTGCTCTTACTAATATGTCTTCAACATATCTGGTTTAATGTAGAAGTAATCCTGTAGGTGTAATGTTAGCTGTTATGTTGAGGAATTGGTTCAGTGGCCCCAAATTTCTCATCTTGAATCGGTGATGTAATTGTTACAGTAAGTGGTTGATAGATAAGGCATTGTTTCTAGTTATTATGATGTCGTTGACATAGATTAACACATCCAATTTTGAGCTATTTTTTTTATATATGAGAAGTGAGGGATCTGAGTGACTTGTAGTAAACTCGAGTTGGTTCAGCGGTGCTTTCTTGAGGCCGTAAAGAGCATTGTTAGTCTGCAAATGTGTGTGGGATGGTTAACATCAAAGAAGCTAGGTGGCTGCTTCATGTAGGCAGTTTATGTTAAAGATTTGTGTAAAAAAGCATTTGATACATCTAGCTGATGTATCGGCCATTTGTGGAGAAGAGCAAGAATTGGAAGTATTCGAATGATTGTTATTTTGGCCATTAGACTAAACATTTTGGTGTAGTCAAGTCCGAACTCTTTATTGTAACCTAATGTGACCAATCTAGCCTTGTATCGTGCTATCGTGCCATTAGAATTGTATTTGGTTCGATAGATTCATTTGCAAACTAGTATATTTTTATTTTGCGTTGGAGGTACTAGGTCCCATGTTCCTTGTGATTGTAACGCTTGAAATTCTTGGCACATTGCTTTACGCCAATGATTAAGCATAATGACTTGAGTGTAAGAGGTAGAATCAGAGTCAGTGAGTTGATGAGTGAGGTCAAACACTTGTTTGGGTTTGAGGTGTCCTGTTTTGAGGCGAGTCTTCATGGGATGAGCTGTGGTACGGTTCATAGGTTGTGGAGTGGGAGGTTGGTAGGATGATCGAGATATGGGAGTAGGAGATTGTGTGATGGGAGAGGAGTTAGGTGGTGATGTAGTTGATACGTGAATGGGTTGATAAGTTGTTGGATGATGTAAGGTGGACGTAGGAACCAATAAAAGAGGAGGAATGGAGTTAATAGGGGAAGGAGTTTGAGTATTGCTGGATGTTGGAGGTTGTTGCTGGAATGGGAAATTGTTTTTATTAAATACTACATGCTTGAAGGTGAAAACCCGATAGGTAGTAGGATCAAGACAACAAAATCCTTTTTGACCCAAGACATATCCAATAAAAACATAGGGAAGAGAAAAAGGGGATAATTTGGATTTGGAATAAGGCTTCATCCAGGGAAAGCATAAGCATCCTAACATTTTTAGGTAAGTATATGTTGGTGTCTTTTTGTATAAATTTTCAAAAGGAGTTTTATGTTGAAGAGTTCTGGTGGGAAGATGATTAATGAAGTGAATGACAGTATGTAGTGCTTCAACCAACTGAGTGTGAGGGGCATTGGAGTGAATTAGAAGACTTCTGATTATTTCTAAAATGTGATGATTTTTGCACTCAACAACATCATTTTGAGCTGGTGTGTAAGGACAAGTATATTGATGAGCGACTCCCCAACTATTGAAATAAGATTTGAAGTTATTGTTTAAGTATTCTCCTCCTCCGTTTGTTCGGATAATACAGATATTACTATTAAATTGACATTTAATGAATATGTGAAAATCAATAAATGTGTGTGAAACTTCATATTTTATTTAAAGTGGAAACACCCAACAGAATCTCTGTATATGGGATAACTGTATATTTCTAAATAGGGAATGCATCTAAATTAGATTTGAATGCCAACCGAGAATCTCAAATGAGATTCAAATTGAGGGCTATTATTATCCTTAGCAAGAACCTTTAATCAATTGGTGACTATTTTGTCCGAGTTGTTGAATTTCATAGAAGAATATGCAGCTTTATGAGTCATATGAGCAAGTTTGTTAGCTCAATATTCAGTGACAAAGAAACTTTGTTTTAACTAAGTAGACTCAAAATTTTATATGATTTCAAAATTTATAAACAAAGCTATCCAACTTTGCAAAGAGCTACATAATCTAAACCTTAATATAAGGCTTTGTTTGGGATGGCTTTCTTACTTCTTCTTAAAGCTGCTTTCTAGTATAAAAATTAAACTTTTTGTACTAGAAAGCGGCTTTAAGAAGCAGTAAGAAAGCCGTCCCAAACGAAGCCTAAACTAGCCAACTGAGTGAACGATATGCCTAAAAAAAATACGTATTAAATAATTTATTCATATATAATATCATAAAATAAATACTATTCTTAAAAAGAGTATTAAAAAAGAAAAGAACTTTTGGTGAGCGAAAACAGACTGTATAGCAATATCACGGTCAGTTTTGGATCCCATATAATAAAAGTCGTGAACGACCTTTGAGAGCGTCTAGTCATTTTCGGGTACTCTAAAAAAAAAAAAAAAATGTTAAAAACGACCTCCATAGAATTTCTTTTGAGAGCAACGGAACAAAAATTGAAAATAAAGAAGAATTGTTCACGTAAACTGATATTGCATTTCGAGGACTAAAAGGGGTAAATTAAATAAATTGAAGAGAAGGTCGTTTCCTGCAAAAGCTTCCCTCAACAGCCAATCATTTCAGCGGCCGACCTCATCCCCCGACAAGCCGACGCAGCGTCACCAAAGAAGGAGACCTGCCGGCGATTTTCCTGCAACACCCCCACCATGCGTGGTACACGTGTCAGTTCCCCAGGTATTCAAATTTATAACCTACAGTTACCAGTCAAAAGTCACTATTTTTTGTCCACCGTAATGCACCCAGCCTCAAAAATGGTATATGTGGGGTCCATACGACCAAGGTTGAAATTGGGTCCCACTTTAGAGTGGAGCAAAACTGAGTTCTTCGCCTCACCAACTCTATTTAATATCGGTATTTAATTTCCTGTCTCCTACCTTTCTATATAAGTTGACAAGTCTTATCACAAGAAATTCGAATTTGTTTCCTCTTCTGCTTTCAATCCTTTTTTTTTTCCTTTCTTCTTCTTTTTCTTCTTCTTATTCTGCTTTTTCCTCTCTGACTCTCTCATGGAGGATCTTGAGTTGACAATGGCAATCCCAGGCATGAGCTCCCCATCTGGCTCCGGCAAGTTTTCTGTCTTCAAAATTCAGTTTTTTTTCATCTTGATATCATCACAATTCCTTTTTTATAAGGATTTTTTTCTTATATAGAAGGCGGAGGAAGCAACGTGAGGGATCTGGACATGAATCGGCCGGCGAGTGGAGGAGAGGAGGAATTTCCTGCTAGCGGCGAGGAGGGTGAGGATGATGAAGTCGGCGATGGCGACGGAGATGGTGGTCACCGGCCGAAAAAGCTTCGGCTTTCGAAGGAGCAGTCGAGAATGCTTGAAGAGAGCTTCAGGCAGAACCACACCTTAAATCCTGTAAGAAATTAGTGTAATTTAATTTGCAATAAGGGCTTTTCTGGGGTCTGATTTGCGATTTGAGGGATTTTTATGGGTTAAAATGAACAGAAACAGAAAGAGGCGTTGGCTTCGAGGCTGAGGCTGAGGCCGCGGCAGGTCGAGGTCTGGTTTCAGAACCGCCGGGCAAGGTGAGTGCTGAAACATGCTTTATTTATTTATTTATTAAACTTGCTTTCATTTTGATTGCTTATTATTATTTTTTTAAAGCTTTTTGATTGATAGAGTAATTTTCTGTTTTTTTTTTTAATTATTGATTTGGGCGACTGGTGAAGTAATGGAAGTATGTTTGATGACCTATTCATTTTCTTATCAGTTTAAAAATAAAGTTTTATTCTTTTAATGTGACATATTTGAAAAGGACTTTTAGTTTGTTTTGAGAATGATTAATCTCATAAAATAAAATACATGCATTGAAATATATGAACGCTGTTTTTTTTTTTTTTTTTTGAGGAGAAACATCGGCTATTTCGATTGCAAAATTATTTTGAAAAAAATAAGAGCTTTAATCATTATAAGCAAAAATAAGTTTTTTATCAACAAAATCTTTTAAAAAATAGTAAAAAATAACAAATAAGTACTTACCAATCAAAATTGTGAATGATATCGAAAAGGTAAAACCAAGGAAAAAGTTGCCCCAATCAGTCCATAAGTCTTGAATTTTAATTTCACATACTTTAAAAGCTACCATTGGATAAGATCAAGCTTCAACTCAAGTAAAATAAACCTAATTCCTATTTTTTTATTTTTAAAATGTGATATGATCATCTAAATTCAGAGAAATTATTCTGTGTTGATTTCGGATGAAAAAATCATGTGGATTTTGAATATACACATTATGTACATATAATATATACAAAAATTATATATATATATATATATATTATACAAATATATATATAATGTGATGATATTTTCCGTCATTAATCTGATCCTAGTTGTTAAAGTTGTTGAGCTTTTTTTTTTGTTTGAAAAGCAGAACAAAATTAAAGCAGACGGAGATGGAATGCGAGTACCTGAAGAGGTGTTTTGGGTCTCTGACTGAAGAGAACAGGAGGCTGCAGAGAGAGGTGGAGGAGCTTCGAGCGTTGAGGGTTGCGCCGCCCACCGTTCTCTCGCCGCTCACACGACAGCCGATGCCGGCTTCAGCGCTCACAATGTGTCCGCGATGCCAGCGTCTCACAATGGCGACCCATCGCCGGCCGCCATCTGCTGCTGCCTAGTTCTTCCCACAATGAAATCATAAAAAAAAAGAAAAAAAAAATTGTTTCCGTATCAGGATAGTTGTCATAGAAGTCTTGGATTTGTATTAAAATTAGTGCTATTTATGATATTTTGTATTGCACTAATCTCAATATAAATTCAAGAAAGAAAACCTAAGCCTCTGAGTAGGAATTAAGAAGCTGGAGATCATATCTAATTTTGTTGTAGATATTTGAAAGGTAGAGTCTTGGTCTTTGGATGGAATTAGACCAAGGATTTTGTACTGGGGATGAATATTAGTTATCTTGCATTGATTCAGTTTTATCATGAAAAAAAAAAAACATGAGAGGACTTTGTTCTTATTACATGAAGCAAGTTTTCATTACACTACCAAAAGTGTTTATTTTATTTTATTTCAAGTTTAAGAATTGAAATTTTGCAGTTTTTTTGGGTCTTGGTTGGCTCCAACACATGCCTTCCATGTTGATGAGAAGTAGATGAAGCAAGAATTTTCCCCGAATCCGACCTGTTATCGAATTTTGACACCCCTAAACCTAAACAGGTTCATAGAAATTATCAGAAATTCATGTCTTTTTGGCCAAAGAGTTTTCAGGATTTAACAACAGTAGGATTTATTGAATTGGGGTGTGCTTAATTTATCAAATCCTAATGTTGTTAAATTCTATTTTTATCCAAACAGCTCCTAAATATAGTTACATTAGGTAGGATTAAATGAAAAGAAAAGAAAATTGAAATAATTTTTAAATAAGCAGTCTCGGCTCTCTCTCTCTTTTCCACTCGTTCTTCCTCTGAAACTGGTGACTAACCTATTATTAAGGGTCTTCATCTATGAATGGTTTATATTTGTTGCTGAAGAAAAGAATACAGAAAGGAGAAGAAACCTTTTCTGTTATAAATTTAAGTGCTGTAATAAAATGGGTCAGGAATATGCTACAGGCTTATAACCGGTGGCACACGGAAGAAGGTATGTTGGAAAGGGATATATGGTACTGTGCAATCACATCTCTCGCAAAGCACAGCATAGAAAACTAGAAAGTCAAAACAGTCGGTTTTTGTTTTTATTTTGGCAGGTTACAGCTCGATGCCACATATTTTTATTCTCTCTTTTTTTTTTGGAAGAATTAAGGGTATAGCCTAATTTTCATTATAAGAAACTAGTTACATGCAAGTGATTGTATGAACAATCAAAATTCAAAAAGTAAAGGAAAACCTGTGAGAGACTGAGCAAAAGCTTACAAAATTGTGTGACAGCCACACAGGATAATACAAAATATCAAAGAACTAAATCCAAGAAGTCTCAAAAATGAGGCTCATAAATTAAAAATTGCATCTCAAAAGGCTTTTGGTATTTCTCCCCTGGTTGTGAGGGTTGCCTTCATAAAAAATGATGCCTAGATCCTTTGTCCAAATGGGAATACATGATGCAATACATTCATCCTTGCCCCTTGAAGATATCAATCTCTGTACTGATTAGTCAAATCAAATTAGCCAAAAAAGATCATAAAACAGGAGAGAACATATTATAAAATAACAAAGCTCTCATGGAGCATGAACTTGTGGTTGGCTGTAAGCCATCCAGAAGGCCCAGCCTGTGTAGTCTTTTAGTTTTATAACATTTTCAAAAATCTCAAAACCGTTCTTATGTTTTTCCACTTTAATAAAACAACATTATTGATTTTGTTGCAAATAGTAGACGAGGAGGAGTATGCATTTCCAAATTTCTTATTATTTCTTTCTCTCCAAAGGTAGTATATCATGCAACAAGTAATGAGACGTAAAAAAATCTTAGCATTCTTGGATATAGTATGCAAGTCTTCTATAAAACCAAATACCTAAAGAATATTCGGTCTATATAGAAAATCATTTGTCTCCATAATGAGATTGGCAATTATAGAGAAGGGGAAGTTGCACGCAAAGAATAGATGTGTAGTATTCTTTTGATTAGAGTGGCAAAGCGGGCAAATAGCATATACAAAAATCCCTCTTCTTAGAAGAGAATCCACCTTTTTTAAGCCTCGAACCAAGGCCAACTATATATAGGATGAGAACAAACCATGTAATGCTTATGGCATATGAATTTATACCAAGGGGCTTGGTTCTTACTATTGTAGTCAATCTCTTCAACCCTTGAAACCTATTCTAATGAATCCCAAATATCATTTGGGATCCATTGGACACAAACTCATGTTTTGGTTTGACATGATTGATCAAGTCAATTGTGATTGACGACTTCTTAAGGGTCCAAATAGCATTTTGAACCAAATGATCTCACTAGTGCATGGGCCACTTCCATTGATCTCAAAACACTCATTTGAATTTGTTTGACTCAAATTCAACCCATGGTTTGACTAGGTTGACCAAGTTAACCATGGTTGATCAAATCAACCCTTAACCTACACTAATATAGATTTCAATGCTTGAACCCATTTCAACTAAAAATAACCCTTAAAAATCACCAAATTGGATATTTCATACATGTACAAAAAGTTTCAAGTCAAACCCCCCTAAGTTTGACTGGGTCAACTCATTTGGAGGGGTCAAAACCCTCTCCAATTTCATTTATTTGCTCAAAACTCCAATCCCTTGACTCAAACTCCTTGGGATGATTTCCTATAGCATGTTTGACCCTCTAAAAGCCTATACAAGTCATCATTGAATGGTCAATAGGTCAACAAGTCAACAAGCCCCTTTAAACTCATGGAAAAAGGTCAAATCAAGGCCCTCCTCTCCAGAAAAACCCTTCCTCATCTTCTTCAGCCACTTCTAAGTACTTCTAAAGCTTCTCCCCATCATTTCCAAGCCTCAAATAACTATTTTTATGAGGAGATAGCATTCTAGTGAGAGAAAGAGGGTTTTCTCCAAAAACGTCAAATCCAGCCATTAAAAGCTTATGGGGTCTTCAACAAACTAGTAAAGGACCTGTCCACGAGAAAAATGAGTCCATGATCTCAAAACTCGAATTGTTGGATTATATGTTATTCTCATTTTACGTTTAAAGTTCAATTTAAAACTGCTTAAAATTTTCACTAGAATTTAAATTTGACATAAAATTTGCTTGACCCTTCAACAAACTAAATTTAACCAATAATAAGCCTAGGGTATCTCCATGCCACAGAGCCAACTACACACTTAAATTTGTTTTTTAGGACAACCAATTTCATCTTTAAGCTAGGTTGGTATTTACTTTTCTACTGATGTGTCTCAAAATTTTCATTGCATGGTGCCTCCAAACTCCATGCAATGAAATTTCATGATCCCATGAGCTTATGTTTGAAATTTCATTAAATTTGGCTAAGTAGTTTGAAAGTTATGATCATTTGAATGTTTCAGTTCATTTTGAATTATTTTTCAGTCGACTAACTAGAGCAGTCCAATCATGCATTCAGTGCAATCGGACGAGGCCATCGCACCACATCACATAGCTCAAACCATGTCATCTCCCTAAGGATTCGAACATGGGTTATTTTAGACCGTGGGATGCCACGTAGACGAATCTTCACAATTAGTTCATCCCGCGGTCGATCTTATGTCTTAGAGCGTGCCTGACGTATTTAAGTGGCTGTCGAGGGCTTGACACATGTTTTGCCACATGTCAAATGACGGCGGTGACGGCACAATCATTGTCGCCGTTGTCTAATTATTAAATTAAATTTAATTAACATATTCAACTTAAGGCCCAAAAACTTCCAAAATTCACAGAATTTATTTTTCACCAAATTTAGAGTTCTTAGTATCATTCAAAAGATAATTTAGTGTATTATTTATTAAAATTACATTTGAGTTGATTTGGCCAATAGATTCTGAGTTTTATGTGTTTGTTTAAAATCTATTTTTTTTCAAATTTCTCACAATTCAGAGATCAAACTAGACAAAAAATTTCGTTAAAAACATTTCGATATCTTAGGCATTTACTGTAATTTTTCTAGGACTAGATAATCATTGGATTGCTATGATGTAAATTTTCAAAGTAATGGGTCCATTTTGAACCAAAAACTTTGAAAATTCACAACTCTCTAGATTTGTAGAATTAGGTCCTGAATTTTTTTTGTGTGCTCGGATTAGTGTAATTGTTAGATAGACATATATTAAAACCTAATTGAACAGTAATGACACCTAAGAAAATAATTAAGGACTATGTCTAAATAACTTAGAAAATTCTTAGAAGATTCTACACATACCCAATAAATGTGAAACTTGACCAAAGTAAACTTCGTGATATATTTCCCTAAATGTTTAAATTTCATTAGTTAAAAAAATTAAGCAAATCAAGTTTCAGTCTTTTTAAGGACCCATAAAATTAAAAAAATTATGATAATTTAATTTAAATCCAAAAAATTCAAATAATACATCAAAATGGCCATATTTTAATCCTATACCTAGAAAAAATAAAATTTCTATCACTGGACCTCTAATTAGACTTTAATTTAAGATCTAATGAAAAAATATTTAATTAAATTTAAAATTCCAAATAATTAATAAAAAAATCGGAAACACTTCCATGGGTCACCCTTGACCTTTGGGAGTGATTCCATGTTGTTTGAGAATGATTTTTTTTTCAAAATCTAAAAAACCCCTTAATTAAGAATTTAAAAAAAAATCAAAAAATATCCTAATTTTGTATAATCACCAATAATTCTAGAAAAATATAATTAAATAAAACTCATTGACATTCAATTCCAATTAAAATCAAGTATTTTCTAAAAATGTCAAACCTCCAAAATTAAGTCAAAGTCAAAAAGTCAACTTTTCGATCAACCGTAGTTCCAAACTACGTCAAAACTTTGAAAAATCATAATTTAATGTAAATAATTTTAAATTGAGCAAACTCAAAGTATAATTACTCATCATAAGGTCTAATTTTTAACAAAATACTTAAATTTTAAAAATCAAATTAAATTTAAAAGTCAACTTTAGCCTCTCTAATTAATATAATTAAATAATTCCAATAATTCAAAAAATTCAATAATTGCTTAAAATCTTAAAAACATCTAACTTGGTTAATAAAATAAGTCAACAAATATTTTAATGCAAAACAAGCACTCTAAATATGAAGTTATTTGGATGGATTACCTTGTGCTGCGGGGCTAAGTATCCTAAGGAGGTCTGGTTCCTCGAGCCCATTGTGATAATGCCACAAACAAATTTAATAGAGTGAAAAAACCTTAAAATTAAATGACTCTCAATTAATTAACTAAATTAAAATCTTTAATTCTACTACATCAATCTGGTTTATTTGCAGGACTACCTTGAGATGTAGGGCTAAGTGTCCTAAGGAGGCTTAGTTCCTCA